GGAGGGTAAGGAGGAGGGTGAGGCAGGAGAGTAGGTGAGGCATGAGGAGGACGGGGATGACAGCATGGGATCGCCGCCGCAGCCAACGCGGCTGCGGCCGCCGCTTCCGCGGTTGCCGACGCCGCCGTCGGTGTCGGCGGTGGTTGTCGTCGTCGTCGTCGTGGTCGCCGTCGCCGTCGCCGCCGCCGACGACGACGCCGCCGCCGATGCCGTGGCCGCCCGCCCCGGCGCGCAGGCCCGAGCCGCGGTCGTGGGCCTCGCAGCGCTCCAACTCCCCGGGCGCGCGGCGTGGCATCGAGGCCCTGGGCGGCGGCCGGGTGCGCCCCCCCCCCCCCGCTGGCGGTCTGCGCCGAGGCTTCATCGGTCTGCGCAGAGGCGTTTTCGTCGTTTCGTGGAGGTGATCCAGCCTCGGGATGCTGTCAGGCAGCTGCGCCTCGTCCGAGCGCCCCTGGCGTGCCCAGATCGCCCAGAATGGCCGCCTGGGGCCAGAGTTATGGCCCGAGAACCGAAGAGCCCGCGAGCGGCGGCGTCTGCGGCCCTGGACGGCGGGCGGTTAGCCCGCAGGGGGTGGGTGGGGGAGGAGCTGGAGGAGCAAGGCGACGAGGGCCTCCTCCCATTCGCCCCCCCTCCTCCCCCTCCCTCCGCCTCCCCGTCCTCTATCCCCACCCCCCCTCCTCGCTGCCCTCACTCCCCGCCCCCACGAGCGGCGGCGTCGGCGGTGGTGGCGACGCAGGCGGTCGGCGCTCGGCGCTTGGCGGCGCTCGGCGGCGACGGCAGCGGCAGCGGCGGCCAGGTGCACCCCTCTGCGACGACGGCGTTGGTGGCAGCTGCGGTGGCAGCGTCCGGCGGCGGCGGCGGCAAGTGATGGCGGCGGCGGCGACGCCGACTTCGACGTTGACGGCGGCGTCGTTGTCGGCGGCAGCGGCTCCCCTGGCGGCCGCGGCGGCGACGGCGGCGGCGGCACAGACGGCAGCGAGGGCGGATCCCGCACTGGATATTTGTTGGTTTGTTAGTTTTTTGTTTGTGTGTTTGTTTTGCTCTTTTCGAATCCTCTATCATGCTGTGTTGCTTGGTCCTTCTTTTCTCTCCGCTGCGTCGCAAGTCTCCTCCTGTTCCTCCTCCTATCCTTCCGCCTCCAGCTCCTCGAGCGCATCCCCTCAGATCCGACGCTACGATCAAGTTCAGCATCGCCAATGGAAGGCAGATCCAGCGATTTCAGACGCGCGTCATTTGCGTGTTGAGCGGATGAGAAACGTGATGCCGTCGGCTTAGGCCGCGCCCGTCGGTAGACGCGCCCAATCAGTTAAGCCTCTCATGGGTGCGGGCGCGTGCAGTGCAAGTGTTTGGGGAGAGGGTGTGCGAGCACACAGCTGATTGCAGACGACGGAGCAGAATGCATCCAGAGCTTCAGATGCAACTCCTGGGAGGTCAAATTCTGTTTTCGCCCTGGTCCGAAATTCGGTTTCATCCAGCTAAATCCCGCTTAATCCCGCTCAATCCCGCTTAATCCGGCTTAATCCCGCTTAATCCGAGGCCCATTCCGGCGTAACAGCCCCCAAATGGGGCTTAATCCTCCTTAATCTTTCTGACGAAAACCTCCCAGCAGTTGCCTCCTAACTGAAACAAAGGTCGTTGCGTCGGGGGTCTGGGAAGTTGGCCGTCGGGGCTGCGCCGTGGGCCCCGCGAAAATCCGTTCGCTATTCTTGGCGCATCTCCGCGGGGCCCTGCCAGCCCGCCCTGCCCTTGGCATCGCTCGGGCGTGTGCGTTTTTCCTTCGGCGAGGGCCATCGACGAAAACCTCCCAGCAGTTGCCTCCTAAGAGAGCCCTCGGCTCAGCCTTCCAGCGGTGTCTCTCGAGCCGGTTCCAGCCGTCGGGGCCGTCAGGGGCCCGAAGCCGGGCAGCAATGCCAGGGCATCGGAGTACGCAGCTCATCTGTAGTGTGTGTATATATATATATATATATTCAGGAGGGAAAGAAACACACAGACACAATTAATCGTCGACTCCCAGGAAAATACGCAAAAATATGGGAAGTGGGGGGGAAGACAAAAGCCCAGAAAATATGGGAAAATATGGGGGATGTTTTTATTTGTGTGTATTTATTTGTGTGTTCCAGTTCCCCTTCATATTTATACGTGTGCTGTTGTTGAATCCTGATTTCTGAAGAATAATTATGGTTGATCCCCCCTCCGGTAACCATTGTATTGTAGTGGCCTTCGGCCAGTGCCGCCGATCCGGGGCGCTCCGACTGATGTGATCCTTCTTCGCCCTCGTCCCTCCTCTCTTTTTCCATCCCCTCCTCTCACTCAGCATTTATCGAAGACGCCTACGGCGAATCACCGCCGCCCCCTGCCTTTTTGGAAACGCCGATGTGGCCGAAAGTTGGACTAGAGCTTGGCCAAGCTATCGGACCATGAGTTCCCCGAGTCGGTTTGGAAAGCTTTCGGGGAACACATGGGAGAGAATGATTATGAACAGGAAGAGGAAGAGGAAGAAATAGAGTAGGAGGATGAGGGTTGTTAGGAGTCTCTTGGGGCACCCTTGGGGTCTGTTGGGGGCTTCTTGGGGGCCTCTTCGAGGCCTCTTGGAGGCATCTTGGGGGCCTCCTTGGGCCTCTTGGGGGCCTTTGGGGGCTTCCTGGGGGTCTCTTTGGCCGTCTTAGGGCGTTCCTGGTCCGTCTGACGCCGTCTGGAGCCGTCTTGGGGGCCTCTCTGGGCCGTCTTGGGGCCCTCTTGGGGCGCTTCAGGGCCGTCTTGGAGGCCATGTTGGGCGTCTTGGAGGCCTCTTGGGCCGTCTTGGGGCGCTCTTGGGGCCGTCTTGGGGGGCCCTTGGGCCGTCATAGGGCCTTCTTGGAGGCCTCTTGGGCGATCTTGGGGGCCTCTTGGGCCGTCGGAAGGCCGAAAAGAAGAAAACGCAAAAAAACCTTCAAAAACCTAAGGAAAACCAATGATTTTGGCCTCTTCGGGCTCTCCTGGAGAACGTCTTGGAGGCCTCTTGGGCCATCTTGGAGGCATCTTGGGGCCATCTTGGCCGTCTTGGAGGGCATCTTGGGCCGTCTTGGAGGCATCTTGGAGCCATCTTACCCGTCTTGGAGGCCATCTTGGCCGTCTTGGAGGCATCTTGGAGGCCATCTTGGGCCATCTTGGCCGTCTTGGAGGCCATCTTGGGCCAAGTTGGGGCAACAAAGGCATTGACAGACGGATTTTCGGAAACTTGCGGGTGGCCGGCGGGACGGGCCGAAGCCCACTGGGGAGTTCTTTTAGAAAAAGAACCAAAACCAAAACCTGAAACGTCCAGCACGCCGTGCACCCCTGTGGCAAGACCACAGGGGGCGGCGGATCCAGTGGCCGTCGGCCTATCCCGCCACCGTGCGTGGGTGGTGGGTCAGAGGCCTCATGGATGCTGGTTGGGATCTCGTGGTTGGCTGGGACTTCTGGGGGCCTCTTGGGCGCCTCTTGGGGCTTCTTGGGGGCCTCTTGGGCCTCTTGGGGCCACTAGAGGGCCTCTTGGGGGTCTCTTGGGAGCCTCTTGGGGCTTCTTGGGGGCCTCTTCTGCGCCCCTTGGGGCCTCTTGGAGGCCTCCTCGGAGCCTCTTGGTGCGGGAGGGGTGGTACTCGAGTTCGGACCCCCTCGGAGGCCACGATCCTTGTGAGGGGTGTCAAAAAACGCATCCGCCGGAAACTCGCACCCCCCCCCCCCACCCCCCCTTCCCCGGCAGAGCCCCCCTTCCCCGGCAGAGCCACCCCCGCAACCCCCCCAGAGGCTGAGGCTCAGCCTCGAGGCTGTAGCTGAGACTCCTTGAAACTCACACGCCGGATCGGCGGATTTTTCAATCGAAGTGGCCCCTCCGGGGCTCGCACCCTGTTTTTCATCAGGGAAAATCTTCCTCCTCAAACTGTGCCCCTGGCCCCGGTTTAAATAATGGACAGCTTGGTGTCACCAAACTGTGTTGTGGGGCCCTTCCCCGGCAGAGCCACCCCCGCAACCCCCCCAGAGGCTGCAGCTCAGCCTCGAGGCTGTAGCTGAGACTCCTTGAAACTCACACGCCGGATCGGCGGATTTTTCAATCGAAGTGGCCCCTCCGGGGCTCGCACCCTGTTTTTCATCAGGGAAAATCTTCCTCCTCAAACTGTGCCCCTGGCCCCGGTTTAAATAATGGACAGCTTGGTGTCACCAAACTGTGTTGTGGGGCCCTGAAGGGGCTCCCGCCCGATACTCCCACACAAATTATTCCAAAATCGCGCTCTCGCGCGGGACTCTCTCACAAGGTAACCTGGAGTCGCGCTCTAGCGTGGGACTTCCTCGCAATTTATTCAGACGCCGCGCCCTCGACACTCAGGAATCACGCCCTCGCTTCGGCCTCTTTCACGATTTACTTGGGAATCGCGCTACCACTCGAGCTCTCCTCGCGATCCATGCAATACTCACGCTTCAGCAACGCGCCTTCTCGACCTGGCTGCTTGGGCCCGCCTTCCCGACCCGCCCGTTTGAGTCAACCCGCCTCATGGGCTCGTCTGGTTCTGCCACATGTTTTCTGCTCCTAGCCCCCTCCTGCTAGTCCCGTGCTCAATCCTTCTCCCTCCCCCTTCCATCCGTCCTCTCTTCCCCTGTTTCAGAAGCTGCACCACTTACACGCGGCAGGTAAGGAAGATATACCCCCAGGGGGGCACGATCGAAGACGAAGAGGGCAGGCACCGACGGTTATGGCACACGAGCAGGTTTGTTGTTGAATTTTTCACTATTGAAGAATAGTTATTGTTGATCCCCCCCCTCAGGTGCACATTGTATTTCTTCAGTTGAAGTGCCCCTCCCAGCGCTCGCACCCTGTCTTTTTTACAGGGAAAATCTTCCTCCTCAAACTGTGCCCCTGGCCCCCGGTTTACAACAACAACGGCTCCCGCTTAATACTTCCTCGAAATTTACTCCGGTCCCCCGCTCCCGCTTGAGACTTCCTCGCAATTTACCCAAGAATCGCGCTCCCTCCTGAGAGTTCCTCGCAA